AGGATGTGGTGCCAACTCTCTTATTAAAGTGACTTTCATCCCGAAAACTCACCGACGATGACAACGAGCACTTGGCTGATGCCAGCTCAGAGTCACAGGCTGGAGGAAGGAGAGGAAAACAGCTGTGTCCAGGTCAAAACAGATGAAATCTACGGCTACAGAGTGTGGCTGAAAGCTATTTGCTGCACGCTTGGTGCCACTAGTTTTAAAAGGTGATTTTTGAAAAGGTGGTTCTTCTGGTTGCTGATGTGCCTTTTTTTTTTTTTTTTTTTCATGGAATGGGAGCCTGTGCCCAGGGGCGAATGCTCCTTGGAGCTGGCTCAGGTTCCAGTAAGTGATAAGAACCCCAGTCACTAAGGATGCAGCCATACCTGACCAGAAGAAAGCAGACACCAGGATGTTTGGGGATGAAGAAAGGCCAGCTGGGCCGTGAGGGTTCTAACACAGCAGCCTCGGGAGTGAGGAACCCCGGCTACGAATGAACACGATGGAAACCTGAGTCAGTTCATGGCTTCCTCACTGACCCAGAGGAAAGAACACAAGACAGTTCAAGATGGCAGAAACCGTGGGCCGCCTGCGTTCCCAGGGCTGCAGAAACATACGGCTGCAAACTGGGTGGCTGCAAACAAGAGAAACTCTCCTCCAGCTCTGGAGGCCACAGGTCTGGAACCAAGGTGTTGGCCAGGTTCGTTCCTTCTGGAGGCTCTCACGGAGAACTTGTTCCGTGCTTTTCTTTTGTTTTTTGAGATGGAGCCTCCCTCTGTCACCCAGGCTGGAGTGCAGTGGCATAATCATGGCTCACTGAAACCTCTACCTCCTGGGGTTCAAGCCACCCTCCCTCCTCAGCCTCTCTCCTGAGTAGCTGGGACGACAGGTGTGTGCTATGATGCCTACTTCTTTTTGTGTAGAGCTGGGGTCCTGCCATGTCCTCCAGGCTGTGTTCTGGGCCTTTCTCCCAGCCTCTGGTGGCTGCACATGATCTTTCGTGCTCCTGGGTTTGTAGAAGCATCCTCAGCCTCTCTGCCTCTGTCTTCACCATCCCCTTTTCTGAGCATCCCGTCTCCTTCTCCTTCTGTTCTCCTAGAAGGACACTTGTCATTGGATTTAGGGCCCCCCCCCGCCAACCTAGGATGACCTCCTCTTGAGCTTCTCATCATAAAACATCTGCAAGGACCCTTCTTCCCAACGAGGTTTCACTCACTGCTTCAGGTGGACCTGTCTTATGAGCAGCCACCGCTCAACCTACTGTGGTAGCCACAGCGATGGAGAGAGCTGCTCCTGGGACAAAGCCTTCTCTCCCAGCCCCCACTGGATCCTCTGCTGTCAAGGGAATTTCCCAGCCACCCCTTGGGTTACCATAATTTTGGTTTTTTGTTTTTCTGAGACAGAATCTTGCTCTGTCGCCCAGGCTGGAGTGCAGTGGCACCACCTCTGCTCACTGCAACCTCCACCTCCTGGGTTCGGGTGCCTGCCACCACGCCTGACTAGTTTTTATATTTTTAGTAGAGACGGGGTTTTGCCATGTTGGCCAGGCTGGTCTCGAACTCCTGACCTCAAGGATCCACCTGCCTTGGCCTCCCAAAGTGCTGGGATTACAGGCGTGAGTCACTGTGCCCAGCCAGGTAACGGTAATTTTGGATCCATGACAAAGCTACAGGGACGCTGGACCTTTCCCAAAGACAGGCCGAACCTGTCTGAACCATGTCTCTGTCTCAAGGGTCACTCGGCCCGAGTCCCTTCTCTCTGAGGCGGTTTCTAAAGTGGAAGACTGCAGCAGAGCATCTTGCCCACAGGCACCCTCAGGGAGGAAGGGAGCCAACAGGAAAGTGTGAGCCACGCACAGGGACCAGGGTTGCTCCTCCTTGCATGTGTCCTCACCGGAAGCTCTGGTCACCAGGGCCAGCACGGGGCTCTGCTGCTACGGGGCTTGGCTGCTACGGGGCTTGTCATACGTTTACCAGCCTTTGCTTGATGGGGAAGGGATGGAAGCTCATTATCCCCCAAAGCAACCTATTATGTCACAGTTGGTTCTGATCATTAGAAAGCACTTATTTTGGTTGAGTCAAAACCAACCTGCCTGCAATGCTGCTCACCCTCTCTCCCAGATTTGCCTTCAGGAGCTCTAAGAAATGAAGGTCACCACCAGGATCAGAAGCTGCCTCATGGCAGTCAGCTGAGGGTGTGAATATATCCCCCCAGGGGTCCCAGGACACCAGCAGTGGGCCCAGATTGACCAAAGGAATTCCGATTTTTCCTTGAGCATGGATAGCAACCATCACCGCATTTTAAAAACTTAGCCCACGGCTCCCAGAATTAGATGTATAAAAGAAAAAAAATGTTAGCCCACGATACGATAGGTGTTTTACGTATGTTATTTCTAATTCTTGCAATTGGCCTGGAAGGCATGCGTTAATATCATCCTTGCTTTCTACATGAGGGAATACATTCTGACTGAGGCCAGGAAAATGGAGGCTGTGGGATTTGAACCCAGACCTGCCTGACCAGTCCTCACGTTGTCTTCTGCCCACGCTGCCTCCCTCATGTGCAAAGGAACAGTCTATTTTCTATGCCTGGGGGCTGGAAAGTGGGGAAAGAAGGAGTGTCCTCAAAGGAGGGTGAGGGTAAAGCAGAAACTCCGCTTTCATCTCTAAACAAAGCAATAATGCTTGATTTGAATTTCTCTGAACATACAGTTCAGTTACATGGTTTAAAAAAAAATACAATGAATTCTCGAGAAATGTCAAGTATTACATTTCAGCGGACGTGTACAGAACAATCAAAATGTTGGACATCCCCAAACAGATGCTAACCTTCACCAAAGTCTCTTCCAAAGGCTCGTCACTGAGGTTTGAAAAGAGCAGCTCATGAATCTGGCCTGGCTGATTTTCGTAGTGTGTGAGCTTCGTGCCTCCAAAGTCTGGTTCACCCAGAGGAGAACATGTCATCATTAGGATTCCTTGCACATGTATGGACTGTTTTATGCTTTTCCTTTCCCACAAATTACTTCGTTTGATCCTCACTTCCGCCCTGTGAGGTGGGAGAGACTGATGTCCTCCTTGCTCTACATATGAGGACATCAGGAGGTGTAGGAGTCCCTGGAGGAGGCCAGGATGGTAATCAGGTGTCCTCTTTCCTTTGCCATCCTCCTGGCAGAAGTCCCACTGTTCCCTTTCCTTTTCTTTTTTTTTTTTTCTCTTTTTTTTTGAGACAGGGTCTTGCTCTGTCACTGAGGCTGGAGTGCTGTGGCATGATCTTGGCTCACCACAACCTTCACCTCCTGGGTTCAAGCAATTCTCCTGCCTCAGCCTCCCAAGTAGCTAGGCATGCACCACCATGCCCAGCTAATTTTTGTATTTAAAGTAGAGATGAGGTTTTGAGACCATGTTGGCCAGGCTGGTCTCGAACTCCTGACTTCATGATCTACCCGACTCAGCCTACCAAAATGTTGGGATTACAGGCGGGAGCCACCGTGCCTGGGCCCACTGTCCACTTTCGAGCTTTAGAGTCCCCAGAAAGATGTGGCCGTTGGAGATCTCACTGAAGAGCTGACGTAGGAAGAGAGAAGATGGAAAAGGGAGAGGCGGGACCATGGCAATTCCCAAGAGAGGAGCTACAGTATCCCGAAGGCCAGAGACTCGATTACAGCTTCTGCCAGGAACACCCATCAGCAAGTGCAGCCAGGCTCCTTTAGGAAGGAGGAACCAGAAGCCTTTTGAAACGAAACATTCTTCCCACTCACCAGACCTTTTCCTCGGGACCCCGAGTTTGCCCTCAGCAACGACGCTGCCGGCCCAGAGAGCTCTGGAAGGCCAGCAGAAACTAGTCCCCCGCTGTGCCCGTGGCCAGAACACAGTGGAGAAGCACGCACTTCTTGGAGGTCATATTGGCTAATGAATTAAGGTTAGCAGCTAAACAGCTAAAGAAAGGCAGCTGAACTTTACTCTGCCACCACTTTGCTTCTAAGTAAATGCTTTGGGGATTGCCTCACCCGCTCGTCAAATACCAGTAGTTCCATTGAATGACAAGCTGGCAGCCCCAGTGGGCCTTCATAATACATGAGTAGACTCATTCTTCCTTGAGATGGTCAGACTGGCCTTTGCCTCATGCAAAACTCCCAGGACACAGAAAAGCTTAACAGGAACACTTCAAACAATTCTGTTGGCTTCATAATTTCCCCTAAGAAGAGAAATGTCTTCTGCAACAATGGATCCCCAAGTTTGGCCCCCTCCCAAAGGCCTGGGGGAGGCTTCCTCCAGAATAACTCCTGGTAACCTGTATTTCTATGCTGGGGGTCACTCTGCTCTTGGACACGGAGAAAGGAAGAGTTGAGGTTTACGTGGTCATTTTTTGTTACAGAGATGGAAGTCTTGAAATGATCACAGAAGGAAAATTGGAAAATGTGTCTCCTAAAAAGAGCTGAGGCAAATTATTATAGCAACTGAATCCTAAAAGGAATTTTCAAGTGAAAATATGGCTCATGTGAAGTTGTTATGGCAACTGACATTTAAAAGTAACTGGATTTGGGCAAGTTTCTTTCTCCACCCTCTCTGCAAAGTCTTGCAGTAACTTCATGCTAAAATTATGCTTTAATTTTAATTAGCCAAATAGGTCATAAATATAGCGTATTCCCAAATCCTTACAATTTCCACCCTGTGAGCAGCTGATCTACTAATGAGAAACAATTTCTACAAAAACCCACTTACCATTAAAACTCCTAGCCAATGTTTTTCTAATATAATTTATCAATTTAAACACATTGCATAATGTGATATTCTGTAGCATTCTATTAACATGATAAATAGCAGTGTGTGTGGGGGAAACCCTCAGGAGATTAAACATACTGCAAGCAGTGTAACTGTATTTAATAAGTCAGGCCACTGCCGTGGAAAACACACTGTTCTCATTCTCAAATGCGATCTAAACTCCGCTACATATCCCAGACTGTACGGGTATTATTAATAGGATGGGAGAAGTGGGGGCAAGAAGAAATGACAGGCAACTTCAAAGAAATAAAATTTCTATTAGGCTTTGTTATAAGATTACATCAAAGCAGTTCATATGTTTTAATCTGGGGAGAGAAAAAGCAGATACTTGGGGTTCGTGCCTAGGGGCTGCCTCTGTCTACTGAATCCGACGGTTTGCATAATGAACAATTTTCATTCAATCAGGATTTCAGCACAGATAGCTTCCTCTCCAAGGTCCCAGGCACCGGCTCAGAGCTTTTATTCTCCCAGCTCCACCTGCTGGAGAAACAGCTTGTAACCGGGAGGAAGGAGACGCAGGGCGGGTTTCCCAGTCACCATGCTGCTAAATTCGGGTCCCTGAAGTTACAGACCTGACTTGACACACTCCGGCCGCTGGGGCCGCCGCCAAGGCCCGGGTGGGAAGCCTGAGCCTGGATCATCAGCGCCTGCAGCCGCCTGGGAAGGCGTGGGGGGTCGAGGCCTGAAACCTTTGTCCCTCCCAGCGCTTCCGGAATTAGGGAATTTGGAAACTGTGGTTTGCATTCTGGGCCAAACCCCGGTGAGAATGGTGGTGCTGGAACTGCTGGAAGGCTGTTTGCCCCAAGAGACCGGGGACAAGGTCGCTGGCTTCAAATACCAAACGCGGCTCCCATCCGGCCGGTCCCTTTCAAGCTTCCCAGGACCTCTGGGTCTTCAGGAAATCACACGGGGGAGACAAAGCTGCCCGCCCGCGTGGAATCGCATTTTCTTTTTCCTTTTTTTTTTTTTTTTTTTTGAGAGAAAGTCTCGCTCTGTCACCCAGGCTGGAGTGCAGTGGCATAATCTCGGCTCACTGCAACCTCCACCTCCCGGGTTCAACCGATTCTCCTACCTCAGCCTCCAGAGAAGCTAGGATTACAGGCGCACACCACCACGCCCGGCTAATTTTTCTATTTTTAGTACAGACGGGATTTCGCCATGTTGGTCAGGCTGGTCTCGAACTTCTTACCTCAAGTGATCCACCTGCTTCAGCCTCTCAAAGTGTTGGGATTACAGGCGTGAACCACCGCGCCCCGCCTGGGAATTGCATTTTCATGCACAATGGGAAACTTAAAATCTGAGCAGAGGGTGTTGAAAACCTGGCACAGGCTTTAGGGAGGGAAAGTCCTGGGCGAGAGGCTGCGCCAGAACTCGGGGCTGCGGCCTCTTCCGCCCTGAGACCCGGGTTTAGCGCGCGCCCCTCCCGGCGGAGGCCGCGGGACCCAAACGCTCCACCTGGCGGGTCCCGGGCAGCAGGCGGCTGTGTCTCGGGGAGAGGCCGCCGGGGGTGGGGAGGCGACATCAAGCCGCGCGAAACTGTTTTGGAAAACCTGGGATGATCATTTAAATGTTTAAAATATGCACATGGTAATTCAAAACTAATTAGCCTGAGCACATTTGAAACATTGTTGCCACCGTCTCTGGATCCTGCCTGCCGACTGCGCGGCGGCTCACTCTGGTGTTTCTATAAACTGCTTCAGCGATTTCAACTTCCAGGCTAAATCCGGCAGCGCAGGCTCTGCCTCCCGCCCCTGGTTGGTGGAGAGACCCTTTCCCAGACTTCCAGGAGAGGAGGCTGCGCCCCGTTTCCCTGGAGAGCCATTTGTCACGGACTCGCAGCTCTGGCTGCGGAGTCTTTGCTCTCGTCGTGTTCATGATGGTCATTTCCATGATTTAATTTGGGTTAAAATGACCTCTGTCCCCGCCTACTCCTTTTCTTGTTGTTTTCTCCCCATTCCCCTTTCCTCTGTGTTGGCACGTGGCCCCCATTCCAATCACACCCCACCTGGCTCCTTCTCCTCCACTTCGGGGTGTGCACGGAAGGCTTTTGGGGTTTGTAAGGTGGCCACATCCACCAGATACCGAGAAGCAAGACTGAACCGGGCCAACCCAGGCGAATGGCGGCCACTGCAGAGCACGTGATGGTGGTGCCAGGGCACACCCGTGCACATGCCACACACACGTGTGCGCACATACCAGTCGAGTCCATGCATGCCGCCTATACGGAGCCAGGCCTGCTTACAGACTAGACTAATTAGACCTAGGCAGGTCCCGAAGCAAATTCACTTCCCCAATTTCCAGAATAAAATGAGTTCTCTTCCTTTGGGGGCACTAAACCAGCATGCCAGCGGCTCAGGGACCGACAATGGTGATGTGTGGCCAAAATGACTCGACTCCCCAAGTCTATCCAGGGAGACCGACCGCGGGCTGGGATTGGAAGAGGAGCAATTCTGGAGTCCAGAAATTAGCATAGGCTTATGTGTATGTTCCAGGTCACAGGTGAGCGATGACTGGCTCCTTATTAATGCTGCAAAGATGCCAGGGGCAGGCTCTAGACGTTTAGGAGGACAAAAGTGGGTTAGATTCCCACAGCCAGCTCCAGTTTGATAGAGCGATATTACCAGGTTTAACTGGCACCATTAAGAGACTCTTCATTATCCCCACAACACCGCCACCAAAGTTATCACATGAGCCATAATGCAAGAGAGAATTTCCATTCCATCAACAAGAGAGGGAGCCAGTCTATCTTTGTCCAAGGAAAATGAGCAGCCAGCATGAGGCTTGTGAGGAATCGAGTGCACAGCCCTCCAATAACATGCCCTGCAGGAATTCCTCAGCTATGGAGTTGGCTAAGCGGAGGCAGGCTGCTCAGGAGTGATCTTCCCTCGTACCTGACCTGTGAGAACGCTAGCCAGCTCCATGAGCAACTGAAAGGTCGATTATCAACAAAGGACACTCCCAGGACCTACATTCCAAAGGGCAGGAATGTTATTTGTTTATTTATTTTTTGAGATGGAGTTTCACTCTTGTTGCCCAGGCTGGAGTGCAGTGGCGCGATCTCGGCTCACTGCAACCCCTGCCTCCTGGGTTCAAGCAATTCTCCTGCCTCAGCCTCCTGAGGAGCTGGGATTACAGGCGCACATCATGCCTGGCTAATTTTTGTATTTTCAGTAGAAACAGGGTTTCACCACGTTGGCCAGGCTGGTCTCGAACTCCTGACCTCGTGATCTGCTCACCTCAGCCTCCCAAAGTGCTGGGATTACAGGGGTGAGCCACCGCACCCAGCCAGGGCTTAAGTCTTAAGCTCCAAGGAAATTGAGATCCAGGCCGCCCTCCCGGCATGCAGCAATCTCATTGCTTTTTCTACAAAGACACCATGCAAACCAAGAGAATTTTCTTGGTCTCACCTGCACCTGCTTTACTTGCTCCTGTGCAATGTGCCAGTCCTTTGGTTTCAAATGGGCTTTTCTTCCAGCCAATCCATTTACACAGCTTCACGGTGATGGCTCATAGGTTTTGTGTCTACCTTCACTGGACTGTCCCCTCCCCTCACTGGCCTCCCTTCCCACACCACATACTCGGTCTCCTCTGTGCCACTATGCTTTTGCTTATAGAAAGTGTTCTTCCGTTTTGTGAGCCTCCCTCTCGTGGATGGAAACTAAGAAGGGAGCTGGTCTTATATTTCCTTTGCATTTCTTGTTTCATCTCAAGTATCTTCCCACAGTCCAGACACCGAGTCAGACACCCAGAGAATCCAGTTTTTTTTTTTTTTTTTTGAGACAGTCTGGCTGTGTCACCCCGGCTGTAGTGCAGTGGCACAGCCTCGGCTTACTGCAGCCTCCGCCTCCTGGGTTCAAGTGATTCTCCTGCCTCAGCCTCCGAGTAGCTGGGATTACAGGCATGCACCACCACGCTCAGCTAATTTTTTGTATTTTTAGTAGAGACGAGGTTTTGCCATGTTTGCCAGATGGTCTCAATCTCCTGACCTCAGGTGATCTGCCCACCTTGGCCTCCCAAAGTGCTGGGATTACAGGTGTGAACCCTACACCTGGCCAGGAATACCCACTTTTATAGCTGGAGTCAGAAGACCCACAGGATGACCCAGCACACCCCCATACACAGAGCAAAAATCGTGCCCCTCATTCAGATGTTCCTGGCATCCTATAACTTGCCCAAAGCTAGATTTATTGCTCCTGCTGTAAAGTGTATCTGCTCTAAGCCTCACTTAAAAGCTACCACTTGGCGGAAGATCAACTTTAGAAGTGCAGGCTAGCAGGTAAGGGTGAGGGTGGGAGGGTGCGGGGAGGGCGGGGTGGGGCAAAGAATGGAAGCTTGGAGAACTACCAGCTCAATATTTAACCTAACTGGTAATTTGCTGTGACAATTATGCCACACACGGAACACTGCCACTATGCAAGAATGTCGCTCTCTAATTAAGAGGGCTCTGCATTTCCTCATCACTGGCGCTTTAATAACATACACAAAATGAGGCTTGGCGGCAGGAGCTCAAGGTTCTATCAGGAGGCACGTGCAGCACGCGCAGCAGTGGCGTGCACATCGGTCTGAGCGCTGCTGCCGGGTAAGCCTGCTAACACCTTCAATTCTCCCCCAGATAGAGATGGAAGGGAGCAGAGCCGTCAGACCCTCTCTCGACCAGAGCTGGTTTGACTGACAGGCGTCTTCCCGGATAGCCTGTGCGTGTCTCCACTGCAAATCTACACTCGGGCCGCGCCTCTTTCCAACCAGGAAGGCTTGGTGTGGGTTTGACCCTTAAAGAGTAACAAGGATCTCCATGAAAATAAAAATCCAGGGAAACAAATCTTCCTCTTCAAGATGAAGAGCAAGACAGGAACAGGGACACACACCCCCCCAAACACATGAACCACTGGTTAAAGGGACACACACACCCCCAAACATGCGAACTGCTGGTTAAAGGGACACACACACCCGAACTGCTGGTCAATGACCCTGGTGTGAGACAAAAGAATATGATTAACATCTAGCCTGTAAAGGATGTTGCCATCTTCTAAACTGCCTGCTGGATTCCTGAAACTCGGCTAAGCAAGACAAACTGTTTTCTGCTTAATTAGTGGCTCTTTTATGGAAGGTCTGCTGCCTGGAAAGAGCCCATTAGAGGAGGAGAGCTCATTTGCAGCGATGCACCTTATACAGCTGCTCAGATTTTCAATAAATCGTGGCAAAGGATGTTGCCGGTGGTGGTGGGCATGGCGCTGTGATGGGAGCAGAAAAGCTTCTGCAGGAGACAAGCTTTGCATTCCAAGCCTAAGTGCTGAGGAGATCACCTTTCCCAGACAAACATATCAGCCTCTAAAATTTTAGGCCAACAGAAATGACCTCTGTACCATGGCTGACTGAAGATATAAATAAACTCCAACATGAACAGCAGTGTCAACGGTGAGAGGAAATGAGAGTCCAATCGGGGCTTATTTTTAAAAAGTCCTGGCTGTTCTGACTTCATTTCAGGGCAGAGCATGCAGGGGCGCAAAGCTGTGGCACCCTGCGGTGAGGTGCCCTCCTCACAGCACCAGCTCCTAGGTTACCTGGCTGGTGAAAGGAAGCCGCTACACACAAGTTAAATATAGGTTTGGTTATCTGCATTTTACAAGCACCCAGAATGTTATCTGAGGAAGCTGTCATTTTTAATGACAGCACAAACTTCCACTTACCCACTGGGTAATGCACTAGGGAACAGGCATAATTTTCTAAGAACAGCTCACAATTATTAAAAGTTTACATGATCACTTTTGAATTGGCTATATAAATATTTCTCCAAAGCCTTCCTTTCCCTCCCCTCCCTACATTAATCTACCTGCTTGCAAGGGCCGGATCAAATTACCTGCCAGCCTTTGATGGTACACAGGGTTAGAGGAGTTATCACTGGACTTAGGCAAAGAAAAATCAATCAGAGAACCCAATAGAACAAGAGGAGGCATAGATTTTCGTGCCACAAAAAGTATAAATGCTTCTGCCCGTGAAACCCTGAGTTTACAACAATTAGAAAAGTATAAGCATCCTGTAAGAGTGAATTGGCTCAACAGATGCACACATCCAAAGAGCCAAACACCACTTACAATTATTTATCTATATTATTACATTTTTAAATTATGTTTGTGATGTGGCTTTTTTTTTTTTTTTTTGAGACGAAGTCTCCCTCAGTCGCCTAGGCTGGAGTGCAATGGTGCAATCTCAGCTCACTGAAACCTCTGCCTCCTGGTGAGCAAGTCTCCTGCCTCAGCCTCCCAAGTAGCTGGTACTACTGGCACGCGCCACCACACCCGGCTAATTTTTGTATTTTTAGTAGAGACAGGGTTTCACCATGTTGGCCAGGCTGGTCTTGAACTCCTGACCACAAGTGATCGCCTGCCTAGGCCTCCCAAAAAGTGGGATTATAGGCGTGATCCACCGTGCCCAGCCTGATGGTGGTTTTGATGAGATTTTTATCAAAATAAAGATATCCATCCCATAGTGCTAGGAGAAAAGCATTACAAAATATGTGTACTATGATCCCATTTTTAATTTAAACTATACACATAGATACATAGGAAAAAGTGGCCAGCTATGCAAGTGTCTATTGCTGGTTGGGGAAATCCTAAGTAATTTTTTCTTCTGCCCTCCTTCTTTTTTTGAGATGGAATCTCATTCAGTCACCCAGGCTAGAGTGCAGTGGCATGATCTCAGCTCACTGCAGCCCTGCCTTCCAGGTTCAAGCGATTCTCCTGCCTCAGCCTCCTGAGTAGCTGGGATTACAGGCGCCCACCACCACACCTGGCTAAATTTTGTACTTTTAGTAGAGATGTATTTTGCCATGTTGGCCAGGCTGGTCTCAAACTCCTAGCCTCAGGTGATCTACCTGCCTTGGCTTCCCAAAGTGCTGAGATTACAAGGGAGAGCCACCACAGCCAGCCTTTATTCCCTCCTTCTTTGAGACAGGGTCTCGCTCTGTCACCCAGGCTGGAGTGCAGTGGTGCCATCATGGCTCACTGCAGCCTCGACCTCGAAGGGCTCAGGTGATCCTCCCACCTCAGCCTCCCAGGTAGCTGGGACTATAGGTGCTTGCCACTATGCCCAGCTAATTTATATATATTTTTAGTAGAGATGGGGTCTCCTTATGTTGCCCAGGCTTATCTTGAACTCCTTGGCTCAAGTGGTCTGCTGCCACCTTGGTCTCCCAAAGTGCTGGTATTACATGCGTGAGTCACTGTGCCTGGCCAATTTTTTCTTTTTTGAGACAGAGTTTCGCTGTTGTTACCCAGACTGGAGTGCAATGGCGTGATCTCGGCTCACCGCAACCTCTGCCTTCTGGGTTCAAGCAGTTCTCCTGCCTCAGCCTCCTGAGTAGCTCGGACTACAGGCGCGCACTACCATGCCCGGCTAGTTTTTGTATTTTTAGTGGAGACGGGGTTTCACCATGTTGACCAGGATGGTCTCGATCTCTTGACCTCGTGATCCACCCGCCTCAGCCTCCCAAAGTGCTGGGATTATAGGCGTGAGCCACCGTGCCCGGCCTTTTTTTTTTTTTTTTTTTGAGATGGAGTTTCGCTCTTATTACCCAGGCTGGAGTACAATGGCGTGATCTCGGCTCACCGCAAACTCCGCCTCTGAGTTCAAGCAATTTTCCTACCTCAGCCTCCTGAGTAGCTGGGATTACAGGTGTGTGCCACCACGCCCAGCTAATTTTTTGTATTCTTAGTAGAGATGAGGTTTCACCATGTTGGTCAGGCTGGTCTCGAACTCCTGACCTCATGATCCACCCTCCTCAGCCTCCCAAAGTGCTTGGATTACAGGCGTGAGCCACCGTGCCTAGCCTTTGTTTTTTTTTAACTGCAGATTATTTTCCTAAAATAAACATGGATTACTTGTATAACAAATAGTCAATAGTCCAAATAATCCCCTTTCCTTTTTTTTTCTTAAACATTTACTTAACATCATTTTTTTCTTTTTGAGACAGAGTTTCGCTCTTGTTACTCAGGCTGGAGTGCAGGGGTGGGATCTCGGTTCACTGCAACCTCCGCCTCCCGGTTTCAAGCAACTCTCCTGCCTCAGCCTCCCGAGTAGCTGGGATTACAGTCATGTGCCACCACGCCCAGCTAAGCTTTGTATTTTTAGTAGAGACGAGGTCCCACCATGTTGGCCAGGAAGGTCCCGATCTCTTGACCTCGTGATCCACCCACCTCGGCCTCCCAAAGTGCTGGGATTACAGGCATGAGCCACTGCACCTGGCCTACTCAGTAACTCACCAGTTTTTTTTTTTTTTCTGAATAGGTGAAAATTATACATCTAAGCTCTTTTTGGGAAACCAATTATTTCCAAATGTGTTTATAAAAGCCAGAACTCTACCAGCAGAGTGGATATAGGACCAGGAGCTAACAAACCACACAAAAGGTGGTGGGGGGAAAAAATCTCTTTGAGAGTAGGAAACAATCAATTTACTAGGGGAATAGTGGACTTCTCACAAGTGAAAAGAAGAAAAGAAGCCGAAACAACCTGTTTCATTTTCTATAAATAAAACCCTGGACAGCATATTGCCAAAGAAACACGAGTCAACAGAAACCTTTACATACTGAACTGCCAAACTTCACTTTTAGACAGTATTTTAATTATGTAGTTAATAACCATGGCTTTCATTAGTGTATTAAAATACCATGATCAGGCCAGACGCGGTGGCTCACGCCTGTAATCCAAGCACTTTGGGAGGCTGAGGAGGGTGGATCACGGGGTCAGGAGTTCGAGACCAGCCATGACCAACATGGTGAAACCTCATCTCTACTAAGAATACAAAAAATTAGCTGGGCATGGTGGCACACACCTGTAATCCCAGCTACTCAGGAGGCTGAGGTAGGAGAATTGCTTGAACTCAGGAGACGGAGGTTGCGATGAGCCGAGATCACGCCATTGTACTCCAGCCTGGGTAACAAGAGCGAAACTGCATCTCAAAAAAAAAAAAAAAAAAAAAAAAGGCCAGGCACGGTGGCTCACGCCTATAATCCCAGCACTTTGGGAGGCTGAGGCTGGTGGATCACGAGGTCAAGAGATCAAGACCTTCCTGGTCAACATGGTGAAACCCTGTCTCTACTAAAAATACAAAAATTAGCTGGGCATGGTGGTACGTGCCTGTAGTCCCAGCTACTCAGGAGGCTGAGGCAGAACTGCTTGAACCCAGGAGGCGGAGGTTGTGGTGAGCCGAGATCGCGCCACTGCACTCCAGTCTGGGTAACAACAGTGAAACTCTGTCTCAAAAGAAAAAAAAAAATACCATGATCAATATTATTTATACTTTTTGAAGACAGGCCACTCAGGAAACAAAAGTGGGGGACGGGAACATTTTTGACCCTGTAGTTCAAAAAAAGAACAGCACACCAGAGATTAGCAAGGCTTTAATGGAAAGCATAAAACACTGGAAATACCGACAGAAATCAGATTATTACCTTTTATTTTTTTCCCTGCCCCTTTCACAATGAGACTGGAGGGAATTCAAGAACCACTTAAAATAAAGGCAAAATGATTAGATTTTTTTCTAATTGCTTCATGCTGATGTCACAGTGTATGCAAAATCAACATTGATCTCTAAGTGAAAGATGAGAAATACAACACAAACAGCCTTTCGAGGTAAACTGTATCTAAGAGAATTCTACGAACTGTGGCCAGAATTTATTAAGGCAACTCTCAGGGACCCAAATCTCTTAAAAGCCTCACTGGAGCCAATTTCTCCTGCTCCTCTTCTGGTGATCTGAAAGTTTAGTAGGGAAATCTGTTAAAAACACCCTCCTGGAGGGAGCCCTCACCCAGCACTGCCCCTGGATTTCTAATCCCATCCGTGTAGACGTGCTGGTTTTGTCCCACTGGCCACTGAGAAAGCTCGAGGATGGGTGTAACATTCCCTGGATGTGTCCTGGTCTCCGGCCGGTGGCCAGACATGTGGGGAACGGAGGGGATGCTGGAAGTAAAAGACTGGTTACCGCTGGAAGCTGGATCACCACTTCCCACCCGCAATTTGTCAATCTAGAGCAAGGCTGAAGACTGTAATTTTCTAACTGCTGATTTATAAGCAAGGTCAGACAGAAAAGAATTTCTGTAAACACTGTTGAGGCCTCAGTCAGAGAATGAAATGCCACCCAGTTACCATCTCCTGAGACTAGAGAAGGGCAGGAAGGTATACGTCCAAACAATTAGTGAGGCTGAGCCAGAGTCCCCCACCTCTGCTCTCAGGAATGGAAGTCAGGCTGTTTAGGGCCACCTGGCTCCTGTGCCAAGAGAGGACGGCAAAGAGGAAACAGACAGGCCGCCATCGCTCCCCACCTCCACCAGCCACCCCAGGCTGCATCTGCACCAGTGAAAAGCCAGGGCCTCTGGCTGCAGACTGGCCACAGTGTGGCCAGGGGACGAGGGAGAGCGGGGCAGCCAGTGCCAGGCGGTGTGTTACAGCCACCGGATAGGTAATTAATATGATTAGGAACACACAGAGCAAGCATGCTCTCGCTGACTGAAGGGCCCAGTAGCATAATTACTGTTTTCTTAGTAGCTCACTGTCTGTGCACATTTCAAAACCTGGTTGGTGTGAGACTGCTGTGTAAACATCAATAAAATCCCAAAGTGCCAGGTCATCAGCATCCTTGGGCGAAATGGCTTTTTGTTTCTAGTGTTTTCATGCTTTTAAAGATGCATTTCAGGGCTGCAAACACCAGGAAGAATGGTCTCCATGCCTTGGACTAATCTTCGGGTTTATAATGAGTTAACATCTCCCCCAAGTGAACATTTATTATGAAGGCTAATTAACTGCTTTCCAGTTATAGGAACTCTTTGCATTAAAAGAAAGTAGGATTCACAAGCAAAGAATATACTGTTTATTAAAACAAAGCAAGGGAAACAAAAGGTTTCGAAATCCTTTCCATTGAACACAGCTTTAGTCGAAAAAAGAAAATATACGAATGCAAGGACTATGAACAGGTAGGAAGAGTCTACGTTCACTAGCCGAAATGCTACGTGAATTGAAGTGGAAACTAAAGAAATGCTTTGTAGTTGCCTGGATTTCCCTAGGGGACGGCAAGTCAGTGCTTAGCAGCAGTCCTCAGAAGAGACAATTCTGATTAGTATCAGACCCATCTGACTCAGGCTATCAAACCCTGAAGGAAGGATATTCTGCGGATATAAAAGATATGCCTTTGATTAATAATTCTACCCTACTGCCATTCCAAGCATTAACTAGTAGGTAGCACCTCTAGAAAGAGAGCGCCTTGGCCGGGCACGGTGGCTCAAGCCTGTAATCCCAGAACTTTGGGAGACCGAGGTGGGTGGATCACGACGTCAAGAGATCGAGACCATCCTGGTCAACATGGTGAAACCCCGTCTCTACTAAAAAATATATATAAAATTAGCTGGGCATGGTGGCGCATGCCTATAATCCCAGCTACTCAGGAAGCTGAGGCAGGAGAATTGCCTGAACCCAGGAGGTGGAGGTTGCAGTGAGCCGAGATTGCGCCATTGCACTCCAGACTGGGTAATAAGAGCGAAACTCTGTCTCAAAAAAAAAAAAAAAAAGAAAAAAGAAAAGAAAAGAAAAGAAAGAGAGCGCCTTTGAATCTAGGAAGACACACTTACTAAAACACCCAGGTATCCCACCACCTCTTCTCATCTCTCCCCGCTAAGACACAACCCAGGGTGTGAGGGGGTCACCACGGGAGAAGCAGAAACCCAGTCACATCATTTACTGCAAGTCCACAGTGAGGGTCAGTTACTGACATCATCATTCCTGCTTGATGGTAATGGAATCTTCACACCACTGACGGAAGCCTGGAGACAGGGGGTGACTGGTCTTACACTAAGTGGCTGGTGGACGCCTTGGGCCTGACAGTCTAAACCGCAGCCACCTGAGCGTATTCTCCGTTGCCTACCACTCGGCTGTGAGATGCACACGAGAGGAAATTGCTTAGTCCACCATAAAGAGCCTCTGTGCTTTGTAGCAAATGTGGGCTTGTCACACAGGGGTGGGGGGAAATGGATTCCATTTGGCTCTTCGCCTGCAAGCTTCTGCCCAATCAGCACTCTCTCCTCACATTGATGCATTTCTCCGGATGCTCTGGACCAGCCTTCTGCCATACTCTCTGTAGTCCACAGGCTTCACATCCATCACAGTGGCCTTAATTCGAGACTCGTCCTTCAAACAGAGAAGTGGTCTGTGAGCGATGAAAGCATGGCGTGGAGTGACGAAGCCCCTTTTGCTTCATAGCTTCAATGAGCCCAGCAGGAGGTAACACAGACGCACTGGGTTCAGAGTTCAGTCACTGCAGTGAGTGACAGCACAGGTCTAGATGTTGGGGGCTGGGACTGCCAACAGGCCTTCCTCTAACACAGGCCCTTCAGTCAGAAGCCTAGAAACATCCCAAACACTCAGAAGCCTAGAACCCCAATGAGACGGACTTTAAAGGGCTTCTCTGGTTTACCGGGGGAAATACAGCCCAGAGAGGATACGTGACTTGCTCAAAGCCACACAGCTAGTTCAGAAAGCTAAACTTTCATTTCAAGAACAGCTGAGTTGTAAAAGGAATAGCACTGCGGCAGAGGGAGAGGCCCATCTGCCCTTCACCTTCCCTGTCCAGACATGATGGGGCTCAGTGACCCCAGAACTCCCCCTGGCCCCACCCATTCCCGACATTGTTTCCCAGTGGCATCTGATCCCTACCTCACTTAATGTTTATAGTAGCACGTCTAAACACAGGTATTGAGGCTAAGGTCTGGTAATTCAACAGCGTGCAAACCCTGCCAGCAGCAGGGATTTTCTGCAACTCCCCCTTCCTTCCCAAAGGTTCACACCCAAGCACCGAATGGTGCCTTCACAGGCAGCTGGAGTGGCACCCAGGAAGGCTGCATGGGCGAGCTTGGGGTGATCACACTGTGTGCTTGGCCATTACAGAATCCAGTGATACTTGCAAGCATGACTGAGAGCACAGCTCAGAAGTCAGACTGCCTGGGTTGGGCTTTAGCTCTGCCACTTGCCCCACCGGACTCAGGCAAGCGACCTGCTTTCTGATGCCTCTGGGTCTCTCTGTGTGCATTCAGTGGTAAAATGAGGTAATAACAGATCCTACACACAGGGTTACTAGGTTCAAGTGAGATATTCCATGTAAAGGATGGAGCACAGTATCTGGCAACAGTGCTCAATAAATGCTGTTTGATTATAACTACATAACTAGGCCTGGCTCGGTGGCTCACATCAGCAATCCCAGCACTTTGGGAGGCCGAGGCAGGTCAAGAGTTCAAAACCAGCCTGGCCAACAGGGTGAAACCCCATTTCTACTAAAAATACAAAAATTAGCTGAGCCTGGTGGCAAGCACCCATAATCCCAGCTACTCAGTAGGCTGAGGCAGGAGAATCGCTTAAACCCGGGAAGTGGAGGTTGCTGAGATGGCCCCATTGCAGTCCAGACTGGGCGACAGAGTGAAACTCTGTCTCAAATAAATAAACAGTATTACTCTCTGGTATTATGGGCAATTTAAGGAACTTTCAAGGAAGTTTTAACTACATGTGGTCTTTGTTTCACATACTGACTGATTTAGAGATGGGATGTCATTGTGTTACCCAGGCTGGCCTTGAACTCCTGCCTCAGTTTCCCAAGTAGCTGGGGCCACAGGCACACACCATCACACCCAGCTCATATACTTAGTATACTTATTTCACAATCTAAAAAATCAAGAGGCGACTTCTCTGCATTTTTTTTGTCGGAATAGAGAATAACAGTACCTGTGTCAGGAAGTCAACAAAGAATGAACACGGTTCATGGCGCCAGAGGCCATGCACATAGTGAGCACGAAAACTCACTGCCAGGGAGGGGGTGCTGCACACGGGAACTCACTGCCGGGGAGGGGGTGGGGTGCACAGCAACTCACTGCAGGGGAGGGGGTCCAGCACTTGGGAACTCACTGCCGGGGAGGGGGTGGGGCGCATGGTAACTCACTGCCGGGGAGGGGGAGGGGGTGCCGCACACAGGAACTCACTGCTGGGGAGGAGGTCCCGAACAAGGGAACTCACTGCTGGCAAGTGTGACGCTGCCGTGGGGGACAAACAGCACTCCCCAACACTAACCCCGCTGCCCTGGGGCCTTTACTTACATTGTAGGTCTCTACTTTGACCCTGACTCGGAATATGAAGGATCGGAAGTTGGCATTCTGGAAAACTTCTTCAAACGCCTGTTCATTCTGCAAAATCAAGTATAAAACTTGACACACGAAACCACCAGACAACTTGCAAACACCGATAAGACTTTTAAAACGACTTTCTGAAAATTACTGTCTCCAGTCGCTTGAAATTGGGAATGACTAATCTACAGGTAACATTACATAAAACTGTTTTCAGTAGAATTTTATTTAAAATTAAAACACTAATCAAATTCACAGAAAGAGGAATGGTAGTTGCCAGGGCCGCGGAGGAGAGGGGGCAAGGGGAGTTACTGGTTAACGGGTACAGCATTTCAAACCCCAAGCCATCAACAGTCAGTCTGTATTCTCTTCTGCCCTCCATCCTTGGAAATACAAATCTTTCGTGTGTGTCTACGAATTTGTCTCTTAAAAAAAGTGCTGGAGACAGATGGCAGTGATGGTGCACAGTAATGTGAAGGTACCTAACGCCACTGAATCGAATACATAAAAATGGTTATAACAATTATGTATGTTTTACTACACATGAAAAATTAAAAACACTCTTAGGAAGTTTCTAAGACTTTAAGGCTGGGCACAGTGGCTCACATCTGTAATCCCAGCACTTTGGGAGGCTGAGGCAGGCTGATCAATTGAGGTTGGGAATTCAGACCAGCCTGGCCAACATAGTGAAATCCCAGCTCTACTAAAAATAAAAAAATTAGACAGGCATAGTGGCAGGTGCCTGTAATCCCAGCTACTAGGGAGGCTGAGGGCAGAAGAATTGCTTCAACCTGGGAGGCAGAGGCTACAGTGAGCCAAGATTGTGCCACTGCACTCCAGCATGGGGTACAGAGTGAGACTCCATCACAGAAAAAAAAAATTAAGAGGAGGTCAGGTGTGGTGGTGCATGCCTATAATCCCAGTGTTTTGGGAGACCAAGGTGGGAGGATTGCTTGAGGCCAGGAGTTCAAGACCAGCCTGGGTAACAGAGCAAGACCCCATCTCTACCAAAAAAAAAAAAAAAAAAAAATTAAGCCTGGTATGGTGTCGTGTGCTGGTAGTCCTAGCAACTCTGGGACTGAGGTGGGAGGACTGTCTGAATCCAGGAGTTTGAAGCAGCAGTGAGCCATGATCCAATCTAGGTGGTAAGACAACACCTTGTCTCAAAGAGAGAGAGAGGAAAAACACTCAGAAGTTCCAGCTATCGTATAATTCACGATTTCAGCCTCTATTTCTAGCTACTGATTTGGTGTGCATGCAGAGAAGACTGCTGAAGTGAACAAAGGCTAGGGAACGCCTAGAAACAATCCTTTGCCCTCTGGCTCTTCACATGCAACTTAAGTTTCTTTATTAAAAAGAGAGAGAGATCTAGTAAACAGAAACCAGAGAATATACTTTGTATAAAGATGCATACATAAATGTGTAACAACTATATGAATACAGTTCTTTGTACCTAAGACCCTTGACAAAAAAAAAAAGGAAATTAATAGTTGACAGCAGCCTGATATTTCTGCAAGTCACACACAGCACAAAAGCAGCTTTGCTGAACAGAATTCTTTTCTGTAAAGGTTAGTTGGTCCAAACCAAAACCAAATGCATCCCGTGGACTTTCAGATATAAAAACAAAACAGTGGGTTAAACCTTGAGAAAATTATGCTGGCTACCATTATACTTCCAAGATGAGGGGTGTGGAGTGCAAGATCTCATGGTTCCTCAGGGAAGTTTCTGTATGTCCTCCTTCACCGGCAGTAAGAACAGTCAAATATAATAAGTCCATAAAAAACCTGAAAGGCTGACTCCAGCCTTAAAATCTGATAGGAAAATTGAGGACCAGGCAAAAACAGACAAAAGATACTATCACACTTTAAAGTCAATTCCGGTTATTTCTGTAACAGGATTTGTTGAACTATTTTGAGAGATCTCATGGACAAAGTCGGGGTAGAGCCCAAACAGACAGAACCGAGGACAGGAAAGAACAAGAAAAACACACCAGAACAAATGGCAAAGCCTTTCATCTTTGTGGCCTTTACAAGTAGTCCAACCAATTTGGAGGAAATCAAGGGGAAAAAGCCATCTATAGCCCATTTACGTGGCTCAGAAAATATAGCTTTGATTGGTCTTCCTTACATTTTGAGTAACTGTCTTTCCTAAATTCAGCATCAATGGCAATCTATTCTGTGCATTAAATAAACCTAATGTGTGAACATGCAAATTTATAAAAACGAAAGGGACAAAGTGATGTTACAGAAGAAAGTCATTTCATCAGAACTGCATGTGATGGCCTGAAATGGCAGACTCCTTAGATGTGCATTTATTAGTATTACTTTGTAGGACAGACTCAGGAACTTGATATTTGTACATTTAAACCAGGATCTGACTAAACTTTTCTGGAAGGTATGTACTGTGTTAAAAAGCATGCCTGTAACTTAGGTTACTTCAGATGACGCCTCCCGATCTAAGCAATCTCAGGCACACTAGCTCTGATGCGCTAATTGGAACAGGAGAAATGAGAGGCTTAGACTTATTGGTTTAAAGTACTTTTGTATTGTTAAGCACATCCAAAATGGACAAAACTAGATGAAATCAGATGAACTCATAAATAATTATCAGACTTAGAAACTGTGTACAGTACCAACAAGAAACAAACTAAAAAATATAAAAGCAAAAAGGGGGTCAGTGTTACGGCATGAGAACCATTAACAGTGATAAAATATGTGGCTGACCTTGTCTTTTAATTCTCCAAGATAGGCAGCACTTTGTCCAAGGATAGCTTCAGCAGACTCCTGGAAACAAGTCACCCACTGATTCTCTTGAAAATCTGCAATATTTACCTACAAACCACAATTCTACATTATTTTGGCAAAGAAATAATAAAAAGAAGACACACTAAGGAGAAGGGAGAGGTTAACGTTCTTTTTCCACTCATTAAAATAATTTCCAGAGAGGGCCGGGCGCAGTGGCTCAGGCCTGTAATCCCAGCACTTTGGGAGGCTGAGACGGGTGGATCACTCGAGGTCACGAGTTTGAGACTAGCCTGGCCAAGAAAGTACAACACTATCTCTACTAAAAATACAAAAATTAGCCAGGCGTGGTGGTGCACGCCTGTAATCCCTGCTACTCAGGAGGCCGAGGCAGGAGAATTGCTTGAACCCAGGAGGCGGAGGTTGCAGTGAGCCAAGATTGCACCATTGAACTCCAGCCTGGGCGACAGAGACAGACTCTATCTCAAAAAAAAAAAAAAAAAGTATCTAGGTATATCAGATTAGTTCCTGTCCAGGTGCAATGGGCTTTGCATGAAAGGTTTTGAGTACATCAGGGGAGTTCTCTGCATTTTATTTTATTCACTATTTATTTATTTATTTTTTAGACAGAGTCTGACTCTGTTGCCCAGGCTGGAGTGCAGTGGTGTGATCCTGGCTCACTGCAACCTCCACCTCCTGGGCTCAAGTGATTCCAGGACAACAGGTGTGCCACCAAGCCCAGCTAATTTATCTGCATTTTAAATTGTACATTCTGCAGTCACTAGGAGGAGTCCTATGAGATGGCTCTGTCACTGCAGGGCAACTAAACAACTTAGGAGCCTGCACGTGGGCCTCTGTGAGTCACCAAATTGAACTCGCAAAAGAAATGAGCAATCGAAGGCCGGGCGCGGTGGCTCACGCCTATAATTCCAGCACTTTGGGAGGCCGAGGCGGGTGGATCGTCAAGAGATCGAGACCATCCTGGTCAACATGGTGAAACCCCGTCTCTACTAAAAATACAAAAAATTAGCTGGGCATGGTGGTGCACGCCTGTAGTCCCAGCTACTCAGGAGGCTGAGGCAGGAGAATTGCTTGAACCCAGAAGGTGGGGGTTGCGGTGAGCCAAGATCATGCCATTGCACTCCAGTTTGGGTAACAACAGCGAAACTCCGTCTCAAAAAAAAAAGAAATGAGCAATCAAGCATCTTCAACCGGTCTGTGGTGTAAAATTACATAGAAGAGAGTCCAGGACGGAAGCAGATCACAAAGAATCCACTTGCTAAAGGAAAAGCCTCTGCATAAGTAAGAGTCATTTTTAAGGCATCACTTTGACGGTTTAACATCTTCATTTTGCATGAGTACAAGGCTTTTAATATAGGGAATGTTATGATGAAAAATAAGGTGACAAAATTAAAAGCTAAAAGCACTCTCATACCCTGCACTATCCTTCTAAGAAGCAAAGAGCATCTTGTGTACAGGGCAAGAACTACAGTGACGCAGCCGTGTGATCAATATCAAATCGAACAAGTGTGCAGGAGATTGCAGTGTGTAGTTTAACGGAAGGCTGATGCTTGAATAAACTGAATTTTCTTCCTCGTAGTTCAATGAAAAGTTTAGAGTTTACAAAACATCAGCCTAGATGCAGAAATTTCCTGCTAAACTAACAATTCATTTTATTTTACTTATTTTTTAGAGACAAGGTCTCACACCGTCATCCAGGCTGGAGTGCAGTGCCACCATCACAGCTCACTGCAGCCTTGACCTCTCGGGCTCACGTGATCTTGCCACCTCAGCCTCTTGAGTAGTTGGGACTACAAGTGCATACCATCATGCCCAGCTAATTTTACTTTTTGTAGAGACAGGGTCTTGCCATAGTTGCCCAGGCTGACAACTCTTGGCCTCAAGCAATCGTCCTGCCTCAGCCTTCCAAAGGGCTGGGATTACGGCATGAGTCACTGTGCCTGGCCAATATGAACATTTTTTAAGGCTTCTGACATATTACTGCCAAATTATCTTTTGGAAAAATGTTAAACTGTTTGCAACCTCCGCCTCCCAGGTTCAAGTGATTCTCCTGCCTCAGCCTCCCAAGTACCTGGGATTACAGGCATCCGCCATCATGCCTGGCTAATTTTTATATTTTAAGAAGAGATGGGGTTTCACCACATTGGTCAGGCTGGTCTCGAACTCCTGACCTCAGGTGATCCACCCTCCTTGGCCTCCCAAAGTGCTTAGATTACAGGCGTGAGCCACTGCGCCAGGCCTTAAACTGTTTTCCTAAACTGTTATTATCACCTAGTTCTATCACTGAAAACAAAAAATCTTAAGGCTGGATGCAGTGACTCAGGCTTGGAATCCCAGCACTCTGGGAGGCTGAGGTGGGAGGATGACTCGAGGCCAGGAATTTGAGACTAGCCTTATCAGCAGAGCGAGACCCTGTCTCTACAAAAAAAAAATTTTTTTAATTAGCTGGGTGTGGTGGTGCACACTGTGGTCCCAGCTACTTGGGAGGCAAAGGTGGGAGGCTGCTGAAGCCCAGGAGGCAGAGGCACTCTAGTCTGGGCAACAGTGAGACCCATTTCTTAAAAAAAAATTGTCTTTACACCTCAACTTTACAACTTAAAAAAAAAAAAAGTTTTTAAAACAGAAAGAAACAATTCTTACAATGCAAAAAAGCAACAATCTCACACTGTTACATTTCTCTGAGGTCAGCTATACTAAAGCTAGAGAATAAATTATCCACACGAAAATAACTAAATACAGGCATTGGCTGTGTAAGTACAATTACTGTTCTCTAGAAATGCCATTTCAAATTAATTTATCTTCATAGCTGTTATGAGTGGTCAAGTGTCACTGACGCTATGTATGACAGGCACAAAAGACTGAAATCAGCTGGGGTATCTCAACGCCACTTCCTCGCATGAAAAAAAAAAAGCCGCTTATCTTAGGAGGCAAAAAGATTGCTCTGTCAGTTGAGTGATAGGCCCTTGACTTCCTTATTAAGAGAGAATGAATGAGCTCTTCCACACTGACTCATCTGCTCTGCAGGCTTCCTACCGTGAATGACCGTTTCTACCGTGGTGACCACAGTGCCTGGCACATGGGAGGGACTCTGTGAAACAACCCTGCTCCTTGTCCAGCAAGTCTATTTACCGATAGGATCATGCGGTACTTGAAACTGGGGAATTCAGTGTCGCACTTCTCACAGCGGTATAAGCCATTCTGCTGATCAATCACTTTCTTATTGCAGTCCTGAGTTGGGCAGGCCTGGTACATGCAGTTCTCTTTGCGAAGATACACCACTGTGGCCACGGAGCTAAAGTAGTCCGGCTTTGGAAGAAAAGAAAGGCATGAGACAGAGCACCCAGCCTGCTGGGGACTGGCTTAGGGGCAGTTCAAAGCCTGCCCTTACGTCCAAGTGCTAAGCGTTTATACATTTCAAGTCTCAAGATCACAAAGTCATCACAGGGAATAATTCATTCTGTAGTTTTAGAAATCACATGTGCCAAGTACAAAACCCATGAATGTACTAAGCTAAGTCCTAAAGCATGTAATTCCTTAACAATACAAGAGTTAATTCTAAATTAGACTGGGTTAATTAAAAGTGAAATTGTTTTCTTCTTCCCTTGAAGACTCTCTGAATGACAAAGACTTGTTCCTCCTGGTCCTCTGATCCTCCACAGGCAACAGATCTAGGAAATACAGAATGCCAGCCACAAAACCCAGCACAGCAACAATCAACCACTCCTCCCACATTAAAAACAATGGCAGGAATGTCTAGAGATTCACTTTTTCCTTGTTTAGCCAGGGATCAGCAAAATGCTTCTGTAAAAAGCCGAGCAGTCAACATTTCAGGCCTTAGAAGCCATTTGGTTACGGTCTCTGCAGCATCTGCAGGCACACCTCATCTGCAGTGCTTTGCTTTACTGCACTTCACAGATAGTGCATTTTTTACAAACGGAAGGCGTGTGACACCTCTGGGTCAAGTAAATGCACTGTTTTCCCAGTAGCGTGTGCTCACTTTATGTCTCTGTGTCACATTCTGGTAATTCTTGCAAGATTTCAAACTTTTTCATTATTACTATTTTTCTTTGAGACAAAGTTTCACTCTGTCGCCCAGGCTGAAGTGCAGTGACTGGTGCGACCTTGACTCATGGCAGCCTCCGCGTCCACCTCCCAGGTTCAAGTGATTCTTCTGCCTCAGCCACCCGAGTAGCTGGGACTATAGGCGTGCACTACCACGCCCGGCTAATTTTTTTTTTTATACAAAAGTCTTGCTCTGTGACCCAGGCTGGAGTGCAATGGCACAATCTCAGCTCACTACAACCTCCACCTCCTGGGTTCAAGTGATTCTCCTGCAAGTAGCTGGGATTACAGGCACCTGCCACGACGCCCCACTTATTTTTGCATTTTTAGTAGAGATGAGATTTCACACGTTGGCCAGGCTGGTCTCGAACTCCTGACCTCAGGTGATCCACCCGCCTCAGACTCCCAAAATACTGGGATTATAGGCGTGAGCCATCATGCCCGGCCTAATTTTTGTATTTTTTAGTAGAGGCGGGGTTTTGCCATGTTGGCAAGCCTGGTCTTGAACTCCTGACTTCAAGTGATCCACCCATCTCAACCTCCCAAAGTGCTCAGATTACAGGCATAAGCCATCATGCCAGGCCCTTTTTCATTATCGTTGTTTATGTGATGGTAATCTTTTAAAATTTATTTATACTTTTCTTAATTTTTATTAAAAAAAAAATAAGACGGGGTTTCACCATGTTGGTCAGGCTGGTCTTGAACTCCTGACCTCAGGTGATCTGCCCACCTTGGCCTCCACTTGGATTACAGGCGTGGGCCACCATGCCTGGCTGATGGTGATCTTTAACATTACTATTGTAGTTGTTTTGGGATGCCACTAACTGCACCCATCTGAGATGGGGAACTTATATGAAAAAAAGTTCTAGTGATTTGGATAGATCAAGCCAGCCATAACATTTTCTTAAGCCAAAGCCTAATCCAGAGCAAAGCCTTAACTTTCTTCAATTCTATGAAGGCTGAGAGAGGTAAGAAAGCTGCAGAAGAGGCCAGGTGTGGTGGCTTATGCCTGTAATCCCAACACTTTGGGAGGCAGAAGCCAGAGGATTGCAGAAGCCCAGGAATTCGATACCAGTATAGGCAACATAGTGAGACCCAGTCTCTACAAAACAATGTCAGGACATGGCAGTGTGCACCTGTAGTCCCAGCTACTCCAGAGGCTGAGGTGAGCCGTGACTGCATCACTGCACTCCAGCCTGGGTGACAGAGTGAGACTCTGTCAAAAAAAAAAAAGCCTCAGAAGAAAAGCTGGAAGCTGGCAGAGGTTGTTTCATGAGGCTGAAGGAAAGAACCATCCCCATAACAAAAGTGCAAGGTGAAGCAGCAAGTGCTGATGGAGAAGCTGCAGCATCTCCAGAAGATCTAGCTAAGATACTGATGTTGGCTGCACTCAACAATATATTTCCAATGTAGACAAACAGGCTTCTTCTGGAAGAAGATGCCATCAAGGACATTTGTCCTGGAAAGGAGAGGTCAATGCCTGGCTTCAAAGTTTCAGAGGACAGGCTGACTCTCTTCTTAGGAGCGAATGCAACTGGTGACTAGATGGTGGAGGCAATGCTCATTGACCATGTCAAAAAATCCTGGGATGCTTAAGAATTATGCTAAATCTACTTTGCCTCTGTTTTATAAATAGAACACGAAGGCTTAGATGACAGCACATCTATTTATAGTGTTTCTTTTAATATAGTGTAGTTTATTGAATATTTTAAGCCCATTGTTGAGACCTACTGCTCAGAAAAAAAAATCCTTTCAAAATATTACTGCTCATTGGCAATGCACCTGTTCAACCGAGAGCTCTAATGAAGATGTACAGTACAAGGAGTTGAATACCATCTCCATAAATGCACCTGTTCACCTCAGAGTGCTAATGAAGATGTACAGTACAAGGAGATGAATACTGTCTTCATGCTTGATAACAACATCTATTCTAGAGCCCATGTAGATCAAGGAGCAATTTTGAGTTTTAAGTCTAAGAGACACATTTCATAAGGGTGATAGCTGCCATAGTGATTCCTCTGATGGATTTAGGCAAAGCAAATTGAAAACCTAAAAAGGATTCACCGTTCCAGATGCCATTAAGAACATTTGGCTGGGCAGTGGCTCACACCTGTAACCCCTGAACTTTGGGAGGCTGAAGCAGGGAGATTCCTTGAGCCCAGAAGTTTGAGATCAGCCTGGGCAACATGGCAAAACACTACAAAAAATGCAATAATTAGCCAGGTGTGATAGCACCTGTAGTCCCAGCTTGGGAGCCCAAGGAGTTTGAGACTGCAGTGAGCTGTGATAAAGCCACTGCACTCCAGTCTGGGTGACAGGAGCCCTGTCTCAAATTTAAATTAAAAAAAAAAAAAAGGAACATTCGTGATTCATGGGAGGTCGTCAAAATACCAACACCAGCAGGAGTTTGGAACAAGTTGATTCCAACCCTCACGGATGATATGAGGGTTTCAAGATGTCAGTGGAGGAGGGACCTGCAGATGTGATGAAAATAGCGAGAGAACTAGAATGACAGGAGCCTGAAGATGGGCCTGAATTGCTGTAATCTCAGGATCAAACTTCAACAGATGAGGAGCTGCTTCTTATGATGGGCAAAGAAAGTTGTTTCTTGAGAGGAAATCTCTTCCTGGTGAGGATGCTGAGAGAATTGTTGAAATGACAACAAAGGATTTAGAATATCACATAAGCTTAGTTGATACAGCAGTGACAGGACCTGAGAGGGATAGACTCTAATTTAAAAAAAAGTTCTACTGTGGGCAGAATGCTGTCCAAGAGCATCACAACCTATGGAGAAATCGTCTGTGAAAGGAAGAGCACCCTGGGTGGCAAATTTCACTGCTGTCTTAAGAAATTGCCAAAGACACCCCAGTGTTCAGCAACCATCACCGTGATCAACATTGAAACAAAACCCTTCACCAGCAAGAAGATTACGACTTACTGAAGGTTCAGATGATTGTTAGCATTTTTTAGCAATAAAGCTTTTTTTTTTTTAAGAGAAGGGGTCTCTCATGTTGCTCAGTTGACTGCCTGGGCTCAGGCAAACCACTTGCCCCGGCCTCTTGAGTAGCTGGGATTACAGAGAACCAAGAGTGGGTGTTCTCGTGACGGGACAACACAAACCATCCAGTGTTCAATTCTCGAGATGGTCTATAACAGCACTGCTGTAAGAGCTGCTGCTGATGACAGTGATGGATCCAGGTATACAGTGAAAATAGGACAGCAGGTATGTAACCTACACTGTGTGTTATGAAAGTACAAGAGCAGGGAGGGATTGCTATTTTAGGGAGCATAAAGGAGAAATAAATGATTTAAATTGAACTGCTGGCAGAATACAGGTTTAGATCAAGATAGAAGGAGGGTCATTAAATACAAACATGGAAAGGAAAGCTGCAACTAAAATTCAAATATCAGGGCCCATCCTTTCAGGGAGTGCTGGCAACCTTCAGCCTAGGAGATGTCAATATGCTGTATTCTAGTCAGGAACAGCACCCGCGAAACAGCCTGTCGGACACTGAGCCAGACGAATGCTCATCTCAAAAAACATCTTTCTGAGCCAGGCGCGGTGGCTCACGCCTGTAATCCCAGCACTTTGGGAGGCCGAGGCGGGTGGATCATGAGGTCAAGAGATCGAGACCATCCTGGTCAACATGGTGAAACCCCATCTCTACTAAAAATACAAAAAAACTAAGCTGAGCACGGTGGCACGTGCCTGTAATCCCAGCTACTCAGGAGGCTGAGGCAGGAGAATTGCCTGAACCCAGGAGGTGGAGGTTGTGGTGAGCCGAGATCACGCCATTGTACTCCAGCCTGGGTAACAAGAGTGAAACTCCATCTCAAAAAAAAAAAAAAAATCTTTCTGATATGTGGGCACTTTAATTTGCAGGAATGATCACAGAAAAGAAACATGGACCCGAAGGCAGTTAACTTTACACCACAAAGCCGACTGTCACTCCCACATCAAGTCCGCTCCAAGAATTAATTCAGTCAAAGAGTTCTTCACTTTCCTGCCTCACGTCCCCTGAGGGTTAAAACACATGCCCATGAGCACCCCTGGCTACTTCACACTGGCCGTGATTCTCAGCCCCCACGGCATGCTCGGGGTCACAGCCCCAGGTAAGAATCACAGCTCCGACAACTGGTGTCAGCACCTGAGTTTCTCAATACACCCTTCTGTACCCTTCCCAGGCTTTGTGGAGAAAGTCAGGGGTGCTGGCTACCTTGTCGCCTTGGCCCAGGTTCTCTGATTTGACCTCATACAAGGTTTTCCAGTTGGTGCTGCTCCCTCCAAGTCCACCGCTCTTTAGATCAGAGATGGAGACGCCATCTAAGGCTTGTCCTTCTGAGTCAAACCTGAAAACATGAACAAAGAACGATGATGAGCACTTGATACACTTCTCGATGCATGACCTGTTTCTGCACGCCAGGCACAGGTTTCCCACCACCCGCCCAACTTTCACATAGCGCAGGGTCATATTGGCTGAACTTAGTATCTTCGGAATTATATGCTTTATTACATTTTTAAATTAAAAAAAAAAAACAATCTGTGACAGAGTTTCACTCTGTCACCCAAGCTGGAGTGCAATGATACAATCATGGCTCACAGCAGCTGTGACCTCCTGAGCTCAAGTGATCCTCCCACCTCAGCCCCGCTAAGTAGCTGGGACTACAGGTACCTGCCACCATGCCCAGGCCCATTAAAAAAAAATTTTTTTTTCAGAGATGGGGTGTTGCTATGTTGACCAGGCAAGTCTCAAAAACTCCTGGACTCAGGCAATCCTCCTCCCTCGGCCTCCCAAAGTGCTGGGATTACAGGGGGTGAGGCAGTGTTCCTGGCCCAAAGTCAGGTGAAGAAACTCAATGACCTTTCTTCTAATCTCAGTTGCTTTGATGCCCACCAGTAGTGAAGAGAATCAGTGCCAAAGTACCAAAGTATCTTTTCTTCAATTAGCTGGACCACCCCAGGCCTAAAATCAGAATCTGGGAAAGTCAACAACCAGTAAGCTATAAAGTAGCTGTCTGGTGTAGTCCTTTGGGCTACTAATGCTCATTTGCAGCAGGGAGCTGCGTTTTGATCATCACCGAATGTATCAGTGCGGAAAGGGACAGTTAATATACTGCGATAGCCTAGCAAAAAGGGTTTCCATAAAAGGCCTCCTATGCTCGATACAGAGGCCAAAAGTGGTGTTTTTGTTGTTGTTTTTGAGACAGTCTTGCTGTGTCACTCAGGTTGGAGTGCACTGGCACCGACTTGGCCCACTGCAACCTCCACCTCCTGGCAAGCCATTCTTGTGCATCAGCCTCCCAAGTAGCTGGGACTACAGGCATGCACCTTTTTTTGTATTTTTTTGTAGAGACGAGGTTTCACCATGTTGGCCAGGCTGGTCTTGAACTCCTGGCCTCAAGCAATTGCCCACTTTGGTCTCCCAAAGTGCTGAGATTACAGGCATGAGCCATCGTGCCTGGCCCAAAAGATTTTATAACCCAGAGCAATTTATCAGAAGGTATTACCCTTTTTCTTGTAGATTTACTTTTGCCAAAATGGAGGTTAATCTTATAGATTTACTTTTGCCAATATGTAGGTTAAATTATTATTAAAATTTATGGTGCTTCTTGATCATGTAACAACTGATATGAAGGAAACGAGGCCAAGGAGAAAGCAGCTCAGGAACACGGCGGTGCAGAAAGGAGCCAGCCTAAGACTAGAGGCAGGCCAAGCACCCGCCAAAGGTAGGTAACTAGAAGCTCACCATTCGAAGAACCGGTTCCTCACAAAGAGACCATCTCAAGAACGGATGTCACCCTATGCTGCAGACAGCCGCCTTCTCCTGTCAGGTAAGCGTCTAAATCCCCCACAGGGCACAGCAAAGGCCGTACGTCTGTTTCACCACCAGCAGCTACACCAGTTTATGGTTTCAAAGACTCCAAGGAACATGCACTCATCAGGAGTCAACAGAGCATGGAGACAGGCCACCCCCATCAAAATCCTGCATGGTCACAGCCAAGATCTAAACACCTCTAATCCCCGTCCAGGTAAAGTATGCACACTGAGCAGCCCTTTGATCAGTGCCAGGTTATTTGATTCTGGGGACAGCCGTGCTCCTTATGTTGACTGGGATCATGATTATTGACAAGTAAAATATGAAGACCTTCATGTGGGAATGCAGTTAACCTGGGGCCGAGTTCCACAGCCCAAAAGGAAATCAAGCAGTAAGACCAAAGCAATCTGCGGCTATTTCTGGTCAGACTGGGCCCTGCTTTCTACAATGCCAGCTATCACAACAGCTCAGTAGAGATGTATGGACTGTGCTCACGAGGGTGGCTTACGTGACATGAACATTCCACAACATGCTTCATGAAACTGGTCAAACACCAGTGCCACTGGTTCACATGACTCAAAGCAGAGGAGGAGTATGTAAAATGAACTCATTCTGTAGCTGCTTAAATCCTAAGACACAGCTGGAAACCGACACGCTAGCCCCGTGACTAGAGCTACAGGAGTTATTTCAGCTGGGCTAGTGAAAGCGCCTGCCTGACCACATCAATCCTTGCATACTGTGTTTCAGTTTCAAGTACTCTTTTAAGACCGAGTTTTAATGTCCTAAAAGGCTAGAGACAGTGAGGAGATTTTAACAGCCTCTTCTCATCCCCTGAGTGCTATGGGAATAACAATCTAATCCTAACAAAAAGCCTGTTGTTCTCACCACACTTTATCAGAGTCCAGTGAATACACACTGGAAGATGAGATCAGCACCAAACACTCGACAGAAAAAGAAAGCACATGCTCCCCCCACGCCACAGAGGCCTGGAGTGTGAACCCTGGAAAGAAAGACGCCTCAGCACCTGCCACGCGCTCGTTGGCAGGACCGAGGTTAGCAGGCAGCACCACATTCTAATCGCCTCCTGGGACTCTCTGGTTCGTGATGTGATTCCAGGTTTGTCAGCTCAAGGGTTTTAAAGCCATCTTCTCAGAAGGTAAAACGCCTCCAAGAAACGAATGCACCACTCACTTCCCTAACAAAGACTTCTGCTTGGCAGAGGCTCACACATGGTAACCAGCTCTCCTCAAACCCAGTCTCAAACAGCCCTTTGTTTCACCTCACGAAACCTACCATCCACGAAGCTTATAGGCCTCTGGGATGTCAGGATTCACGATGATGGTGCTGGAAGACAACACAGAGAGGCTCCGTCCACCGAAATCTGAGACTCTGGCTCCTTTGATAGCCAGCACAGGCTGTCTGGAACCATCAAATTTATCAGCCTGTAAAACAAACACCAGACATACACACGTGTCACTCGCAGGAAGAACACAGAAGGTTTTTATAGAAAACAAGGCAAACAGTCAATAGTGAGTGAATGTAATCAATGTACATAGAATCTACACAAGACAGACTTCACACATAACGATCTTCTCAAAGACACATCAAACTAGCACTACTTTCCCAGAGTTAGGGGGAGGAGCATTTGCCTCCGTAAAGCTTGAATCACAGCAAATCTCACAGAAGATAAAGGATTTCAAATATTTGCCAGACAGCACGGCCCTTCCCATCTACACGGCCAAAGCCCCCAACTCATAGGACAAGACCACCTGCTCCCCCAGGAGCTCCTCCCGTGCGCGCTGACAGCTCCGCCCTCACTTACATCTTCCCCCCACAGTGTAGCAGTCACCACCTTCCCCGACGTGTCCATCAAGTAGATATTCCTCTTAGCAACCTCTCTGTTGTTAGACCTCACTGTGATTTTCGTGGCATCTTCATAGCTCTTGCAGATCCCAATTATGTCTGAAACACACCCACAACGTGTTAGCAGGAGACCGTCAGGGCTCCAGCTGAAGGGGATGGGAGGGTGAATGGCAGGCACTGGGGTCTGACACCGCCCCGGACACTGCACAGGAGCACCATCCCCCACGCTGCACAGGAACACCACTCCGGACACTACACAGAAGCACTGCCCTGGACACTGCACAGGAGCATCGCCCCCCACGCTGCACAGGAGCACCGACTCGGACACTGCACAGGAATACCACTCCCCACGCTGCACAGGAATACCGCCCTGGACACTGCACAGAATACCACTCATCACTGCTGTTCCTTCCCATACACCAACTTACCGACAAGTGAGTCTTTAGACTTGCTCTCTAGGTTATCAATCCCTGTGAAATCAAACTGAACGGTAGGCAAGTGATGATCATCTTCACAGGGCATGACGGAAGTCTCATTATTGAAGGTCATCTCATAGTCATTTTTAACAGCTGTGAATTGTTTGTTAGCAATCTTCAGGGTGCCCTTTGAGAAATAATACACCTGCAAAGGAGGCCAAGCCACAGAACTTCAGACTGTCATCAAATTGGACAAGAAACCCTGGTCTGCCACCACACAACCCTCCACTGGACCACAGTCCTCTCATCCTCAGTGAGTGTCGGCCCCAAAGCCGACACTACTATACCTTGTTCACTTCAATGAGGGGAAAGAACTTGTCCACTTGCTCATTGAAAGCCGTAGCTCTGATTTCAGCCTGTGGAAGCACGTGAGAGCAGTTAGGACTGTGGGATTCAACTTCAAGCCTGACCAGTGAAACATAGGCCACCTCAGCATCAAAATGGCATCTTCAGAGCAGTGAGACACAAAGGGGACCCAGAGAGGGCTCCAGACATCCCAGAAACCCGCATTTTATAGTCACACATTCAAGTCATTAGCCTGCTGAAAAAAGAATTTCAATTGCTGGTCCCATAGTCATGCTGCATTAACCTCAAGTGAGACACTGAGAACTGAACGAAAGGGTAGTGTCGAGTGGAGTATTCTGACGATAAAAACCAAACCACGCTGACCACTGAGTGACACAACTGGAGCCCACAGCAGGCTGCTGCTGGGATGACTCCCGCTTCCCCCAGTGCCTTCTCAGTGACAATCACTCCATGCTCGGGAGCCACTGCCACAAATGTCACAGTAAGTCATGTTTTCAAGTTGCCTGTGATCTGATTTTCACTTTTGCTTTTCTTTCAGCCAAAATGCTATAGGTGGACAAGAAACTTAAATGATTGAAACTGTAGCCAACCTTTAGAGCAGTAATGTGTTTAAAAAAAAGGTTCTAATATTGATTCTGCCACCACACAGTCAAACATTTTGGGTGTTATACCATCCTTCCTCCCACCCCCAAAAAATCTATTTTTTTCTCTGCCTTTGGGAGTTTGAACAAACAGGAAATATGTGGCAGTTTGATTTAGACATCATTATATTATTATTTCTATTTTTTTTGAGATGGAGTCTTGCTCTGTTGCCCAGGCTGGAGTGCAGTCATGCAATCTTAGCTTGCTGCAACCTCTGCCTCCTGAATTCAAGTGATTCTTCTACCTCAGTATCCCAAGTAGCTGGGACTACAGGCATGTGCCACAAAGCCCAGCTAATTTTTGTAGTTTTAGCACAGACAGGGTTTCACTATGTTGACCATGCTGGTCTCGACCTCCTGACCCCAAGTAATCTGCCCACCTCGGCCTCCCAAAGTGTTGGGATTACAGGCATGAGCCAGCATGCCCAGACAGTTTTTGCATTTTTAGTACAGATGGAGTTTCACTATGTTGGACAGGCTGGTCTAAAACTCCTGAAATGGACAGATTAACAGCTATCAAGACTGTCATGATTCTATGGCATAGGAATTCGATCTCATTGTCGTGGTTTTATTTAGTTTAAATAAAGCAAGTAAGAGAATCTCCACAGTCAGAACCCATTTCCCACAAAACCACTCCCGTATCAAGGTCACAACTGTGTGTCTTCTGCTGTGGCCGGAAGCTCCACTCTGTGCATGAGCAGGTATCACCTCCCAGGGCCTCGATGGAGCCTGCCAGCAAATCAGACAGTCTCCAGTTTCTCCTGCCCAAGAGGCTACTTAGACATTTAGAAAACTACTTTCTACTGCTATAAACACTGTCATTTAAGATCAAAGATTTTTTTATGACCTTTAACCCTCCACTCCAGACAGCATCAAAGGACCAGGTCAGAGGGAGAAGCACAAAACAGTCGCGCTTCTCTCTGGCCTACTGTTCTTCTTTGCCCCTTCGGCCCACAGAGCTGAGGCTTTTGTTTCTCTGAGTCCACGACTCTCACTTCCCCACTTGGCAAATACTCACACTTTCATCAACTAGTTCTAGAGAGAACAGCTTCCCTTCTCCTCGGGAGTTGCTCCAGGTACGGATCTGACTTTTGTTGGTGACACGAGCACAAATCGTCCACCTAAAAACCAAATCCATTATATTAGTGTTTGGAGTCTTACTTGGAAAAGATCAAGTGAGAAATCATCTTCCTACAGCCTTTCTCATCTTACACATATTCCATTTTCCAACCTGTATTTTAATCCAGCTAATTAAAACCCGAAGATGACACATGGGTTTGACAGTTTACAGAATAAGCAAATAGTAAAACATACAAGGTGATTTAACACTAACTAATTCTCCTGTCAAACAAGTAAATTTATAAACTCTCTCCCTTCTCCAAAAAGCATCTCCAAGGCAACAATATCCCCTTAATGAAAGGTTCTAAGCTAGAAAATACAGTAACACCAGCAATTATATTTTACCAGAGTTTTCAATTATGGGAACTGATATAACTGGTGTCAGACTTCCCTCTCATTTCTTGCGCACATGGAATATAAATACAAAATGTTGGCCGGCCATCCATAAACCATACTGTGGCAGCAGGACCTTACAGAGAGGCCGCAAGGAGAGGAGCCCAAAGATCTGAGTTCCACTTCTGGTGCCCTCCTGAACACCTCAACCAGGCACACAGGCACCTCATTTCACAGGAAGAAATTTCTTTCCTATATTACAAAGTATTGAGGAATAGAGACATATCTGAAAGAATTCTGAAAAAAAGAACTCTAATTTTTAACTATGCAAATTATTTGTTTATTTTTTTGAGAAGGAATCTGACTGTCACCCAGGCTGAAGTGCATTGGCACAATCTCAGCTCACCACAACCTGTATCTCCTGGGTTCAAGCGATTCTTCTGCCTCCGCCTCCCGAGTAGCTGGGATTACAAGGCATGCACCACCACACCTGGCTAATTTTTGTATTTTTAGTATAGACAGGGTTTTATAATGTTGGCCAGGCAGATTCCGAACTCCCAAAATCAGTTTATCCACCCGCCTTGGCCTCCCAAAGTGCCCAGCTACAAATTAATTTTTAGTGTAAAAAAGTCATATAAAAGAAATATATATCTGGGGTATGTTAATGTGGTTAATACAAATAGTGCAGATTATTTTAGCCAACTAAACCAAAGGCGAAGTAACCTGTTTACAGGAGAAGATGAAAGGCCTTCAGATACATTTATTTTTACTGCTAAGACTATCAACTGATTAAGCATTAAATATTTTTAATTTCAAATTCTTTCAAAATGAATGAAACCCCACAGGCCATGGCAGATTGCTATTTTTGCTCTACTTTCCAGTAAGAGAGTTAAAGGGTTACCACAATCTGTCCCCCTCTCCTCCTCACGAAACAAAGAGAGTAAACCCAGGCTAGGTGTGGTGGCTCACACCTGTCATTCCAGCACTTTGGAAGGCAGAGGCGGGTGGATCATGAGGTTAGGAGTTCAAGACCAGCCTGGCCAAGATGGTGAAACCCCGTCTCTACTAAAATACAAAAAAAGCTGGGCATGCTGGTGGGCACCTGTAATCCAGTTACTCGGGAGGCTGAGGCAGAACCACTGCAACCCCTGGGAGGTGGGGGTTGCGGTGAGCTGCGATTGCACCACTGTACTCACTCCAGCCTGGGGGAAGAAGAGAAACTCCGTCTCAAAAAAAAAAAAAAAAAAAGAGAAAAAGAAAAAGAGTAAACTCATTCTATTTGGAGGTGACCCTGAGGATCAAGCATGAATAAACTCAAGAGTTCACAGTGACTTCTCTATTTCATATGTACACCTGGAACTTATCCTATGCAACAACTCACTTGGACTGGTAAGGGGTGAGGCTGGCAATGGGTACCACTTTGGCTTGTGTTCCCCCGGAAGTGCTGGACAGGCTGGGACCTCCAGCTTTTCCAAACGTCTTTGATGCACCATAAGCCTTAGGAAGAGTGGAACCTTTAAAAACAAACACAAACGAAAAGGAGTATCATTATTCTACTTAACTTTTTTATAGTAAGCTTTACAATAACTCTAAATTACTGAGGTGCCACCAGTGAAATTATAAAACATGACAGGCAAAGCTTTTCCTTTTTAGTATGCAAGAGATATGCAGATCAAATAGACAGTGAGGCTGGAGGCTAGAAAAGCAATCTAGAATGAAGGCTGTGCACACAGAAGTTCACTGTTACATTTGCTCACGTCAGCCCCGAGGTCAAGGTAATAGTGGTAACGAATCCAGACACTGCTCTTTCTGAAGGCTGCCCTCCTAAACACTTCTCTTGCCTCAACGGGCAAGGTAACAGGTCAGAAGAAGAAAATCAACTTTCTTAACTGGTAAAACTAATGGCAAGGCACTCATCACATGAGAAGAAAAGCAGGGGGACAGGACAGGACGTGAGGGATCTATCACAAAGAGATCGCCTCCAAATCCCCAGGCAGCTCCCAGGCTTCAACGAGGCCAGAGGACCAGAGGCTAGCACGGAGCCCATGCGGCTGAGTCTAGTCGGGTACAAAGAGGGCAAGAGTCAGTTTTTGGTCAAGACACGTAAGTGGGTGACCACAAAGACCCTTCTGCCTCCTTATCCAAACCTAAGCAGCTGCCCTGCACTGGGAAAGAACCGGGAATTGGAGCGTTTGAGCAGATGAGTTCTTCTATATGCACCGTGTATCTGCAAAACTTCAACCTCTGAAATCAGAAAATACAATTCAGTTGAGTGACTTCACGTCCTCTATATGAAAACATCTCTTCAGAATAGAATTTGGCTGAAAGTATCAATACACTATCTATCTAGTATTTATTTACTGAGTTTCCACAGCCTGTGCTACATCCTTCGAGACATTCATAGTAATTAGTAAAAAACATACACAGGAGTGTTCCAGATCCTAAAGTTCTCTATTCTAACTGGGGAATCGAGAGAGGTCATTACACACAACAGTAATTATCTCAAGACTGTGTAAGGAAACACACGTATTTGTAGAGTATGTGTGTATACTCATAATATATAATTTTATAAAACACGCACAAGCATCCATCCATTCATCCAATTTTTTCATGCTGGGTAGCTTCCCCTCAGTACAAATCCAGTTCATTTTCTTTCACTACGTAGTTTAGGAACATTCACTGACTTTCATTTTTTTGAGACATGGTCTTGCTCTGTCCCCCAGGCTGGCATGCAGTGGCACGATCATAGCTCACTGCAGCCTCAAACTCCTGAGCTCAAACGATTCTCCCACCTCAGCTTCTTGAGTAGTTGGGACTATAGGCAGGCACCACCATGCCCAGCTAATTCTTAAACAGTTTTTTCTTACAGAGATGAGATCTCTGTTGTCCATGCTGGTGTCAAACTCCTGGGCTCAAGCAATCCTCCTGCCCTGGCCTCCCAAAGTGCTAGGATTACAGGTGTGAGCCACTGAGCCCAGCCCCAACTTTTAAAAATAAATTTTAATATAAGGTAAAGCTAGACAACCAGAAACATAATTCTGTGGAGGGAGGGAGATGAATAATGTACTGTTTGTACATCAGCCTAAGTAAGGAATTGATTATTTACCACTTTAGAGCGTCTATTTCACCACTCTCTTCAACAGTATCTATCTTTTTCTTTTTGAGTCAGAGTCTTGCTCTGTTGCCCAGACTAGAGGGCACGGGTACAAACTCAGATCACTGCAACCTCTGCCTCCCGGATTCAAATGATTCTCATGCCTCAGCCTCCTGAGTAGCTGGAATTAGAGGCACATGCCATCATGCCTGGTTCATTTTTGTATTTTTAGTAGAGATGGAGTTTCACCATGTTGGCCAGGCTGGTCTCAAACTCCTGACCTCAAGTGATCCACTCACCTCAGCCTCCCACAGTACTGGGATTACAGGCGTGAGCCACCGTGCTGGCCCAGAGTATATAATTTGAGAGTTGTGTATAAATAGATCCACTTATAAAAGGAGAGAGAGAGCGGGGGGGGAGGGAGAGAGAGAGAGATACTGCAAGGTGCATTTAAAACAGCAAAGACCAATGGTGGAAAAGTCCTGAAAATTTCACAGAAACATTAGTGACGTCTTAACCTTGCTTTTCTTAGAACCTTAACACTGAAAAATAGAAACTAATAGTTGAGGGGAGGAGAGAAGGTGTATGTGAAGCTGTGACAGAAAAAAGGACCTCTAAAAATAAATCCAACCGCATTCTACAAATCAAAATTTTCAATGGTGACTTCTCAGATCAAGAGGTTCCTTTACTTTAGGCCAGAAAGTAAACAAAAGGATTCCATTAGGGCCGTTCGGGACCTGCTGCAGAGAAAAGTAAAAAAGATTTCTCATCCATGAGACTGAGGAGCAGAACCTATGACCAACAGAAATGATACTGTCTTCAAGCAAACGAGAAACGCCCATGAGGGCTCCCAGTGGGACAGCTGGAGAGGTGAGCCAGATGTAAGACAGCGAGAACCTAAAGGGAATGCAAATGCACACAAAGTCAGAGGGTATCAAACCCAAAGATGAGAAAAACTAAGAAACTACCTGATAAACTACTAACAGAGAAGAATAGAGCATTTTTATTTTTTTAAAAGGCTGACGTGTCTTTAAAAGACATTAAGTATCTTTAAAAGACAATCTTTGGCTGGACACTGTGGCTCACGCCTGTAATCCCAGCACTTTGAGAGGCTTAAGATGGAGGACTGCTTGAGGCCAGGAGTTTCAGACCAGCCAGGGCAACATAGTAAGACACCATTTCCACAAAAAAAATTAGCCAGGCATGGTGGCATGTGCCTATAGTACCAGCTACTTGGGAGGTTAAGGCTGCAGTGTGCTGTGATGGTACCACTGCATTCCATCCAGCCTGGGTGACAGAGCGAGACCCTGCCTCAGAAAAACAAACAAAAAGATAATCTTTAGTCATTTTTTCAGTCACATACTGTACAATATGAATCGGAATTAATTATTTGCAAAACATAGCCTGTAATGAATGGCATTTTGAAAACTCCTGTTAGTCCCAGATTCAATTTCAAAACATTATTCGAGAGTCTGACACACATGGTCAACATGTGTCCTCGTGAGGCATCTTACCCACTCCCGAGCTTCCATTCTGTGGCTGGGGCTTGCTGCTAGCTGGGCTGGCAGCTGGAACTGGAGGAGGAGCCACCTGCTGTTGCCCATGTCCTGAAGATCAGAAGGGAAGGTCCATGTTAGTGCACAAGATTTGGGTTAAGAGATTTAAACTTGGATAGAAGACATGCTCTGGGAAAGAGTGCATTTTTAAAATTTTATCAAAGACTCCCATGGGTTAGAATTCCTGCTGAGGCATTCAACTGCAGGCAGTGAATTTGCTAGGGGTTCACTTTTTGTTTTCATTACACAAAAGGTTGGCTCCATTTACCTTTCACCTGCTTATAATTGATAGCCTTCAGTTTTAATGAGGTTCTCCCCTGAAGCCTTGCCCATTTCTCCTGCAGCAACCTGCAGTAAAGTCACTGGGTTGAATCTGTGACATTACCACTATTTCCATAGCAACAAATCGATGTCATCAACAGAACCGTGTGTTCACGCAGGATCAATCAGAAGAAAAAGCTGGGTGGTAAGAAAAACCTAAAAGCAGTTCAATTGTCTCTGAAGTGCTCCTGCTTCAAAGGAAAAGGAGATATTCAGAAAGGATTCTACCCTCTCCCTCCCAAACAAAGCAACCTTATTTTGCAACTGACAGTTGGTGGAAAATACAAGTTGAAAGAGTCTCGGGTACCGTGAAGTGCTGGTGAACTGTCACAGCGGGGAGAGACGAGAATGGGGTTCAGAAGCAGGTGTGTCAAGGAAACGGGAAGATTAAAAGGAAAGGAGGGGAAATGAGCAAGCCTCTCAAGCAGAAAATAAGAAAGTATACTGTAAAAGTCTTACTTGCCCACCACTCTCTGCACAAACGTTTATGAAGCTGAAGAATGTGAAAACTGTAAAATATGCCTCATTTTGTGAAATAATAGATTTATGGAATCTGACTTTGCCTTCGTGATAGGCTCTAAAAGGCAGAAGTCAACCTCATCTGGGCCGCTCCCCAAGAGTACTTGCAGCACACAAAGGGAACTCAAAAAATCTCCTAGCATGCCCCAACAACAAAAATGGCACACACAGCTGGGAGAGCGTCCCGCCTGCCACCCTGCCTCTGCCTTCTCCAACTGCTGAGTTCACATTCTTGCTGCATCTTCCAAGGTCCTAACTCAAATGGGCACATTACGCACCGATTCAACTGACTTCTGCCAATACTACTCTTAACTGGCACAACTAAATGACAGGTGGCTGTGCCATTAGAGTAAATTTAGCATAAATTAAAAAGGTTAAATAGAACTGTTTAGTTCTTCCTATGGAGAGAAAAATTGAGAGACCTTATTTACATAGAAAAAGAGCCAGGTTATTGAGAGAAAAATTTTTGTGTTTACATTTTGGCTTTTCCATTATCTCTGAATTTACAAAGTGTCACACAGAATTGCAAGGGAAACTGCTCTTCCCTGACAATGCATCTTGTGAAGGAACAGTCTAAAATGCTACAGTGAACCTTTTTTTACAATCAGCAGAAAAAGAAGAACTGCTCAGTAAATGGTATTGGGGCTAAGTGGTTGGAAAGAAATAGAACGACAGCTGTATCTTTACCTGCTTCCTGAATTATATTCAAAAGAATAGAGATGTAAATTCAAACACAGGCGAGTACCACAGAGCTACAGAAACCCCGTATTCTCCTTCCTGCCTCCTCCCTCTCTTCTACGGCCTCCAAAATCTCTCAACTGGAAAATCCCTTCCTCAGATCGTGTCTGCTTGTTCAAGTACCTTGTTGAAAGGAAAATGGTCATCCGATCTTCCTCAGCACATAAATTCAATTTCTATAAAAATGTAACTAACACTTAAGAGGTATCTACCGTAGACAGATTCACAGGGGCAGAAAGTAGAAGAGGGGCTACCAGAGACTGGCAGGAGTGGGAATGGAGAGTTGGTGTTTAATGGGCACAAGAGTTTCAGTTTGGGATGATGGAAGGTTTTGGAGCTGCAGGAGTTTAACGAGCACAGGAGTTTCAGTTTGGGATGATGAGAAGGTTCTGGAGTTGGAGTTTAATGGGCACAGGAGTTTCAGTTTGGGATGAGAAGGTTCTGAAGCTGGAGAAGTTTAATGGGAATTTCAGTTTGGGATGACGGAAGGTTCTGGAGCTAGAGGGTGATGGCTGTACAATAGCAATGTTGATAGACTTCATGTCACTGAACTGTAGGCTTCAAAATAATCAAATGTCAATTTCCTGTTAGGTATATTTTAACACAATTCTTAAAAACGTGACTTACCTTGGTTTACCTATTCTAAGATGTACATTTTTTTCACATTTTAACATGTACATTAAATTTAATGTCTTACCACAATTTCTTTTTAGTAGTACATAATATAATGGTACAGTCTCATTATCACTGGATTCTTAGATTCAACGAAGCACAGCATATTTAGCAAGTCTCCAGTCAAGCCCTATGACAATCATGAGTAACAGCTACCCTTCTTTGAGTGTTCAGCCTGCTTTGGGTACTAGGTTACCTGTACTACTCCAGTGCCTGCCAGCCCTATGAGAGACACGATTATCATACCCTTGAACAGAGGAGGATGCTGGGTTAGAGGCCACATAGCTCGCTGCAGTCGCAGAGCTGAGACACAGGACCTCACCTGGAAAATGCACCTCACGCACTTCACCATCGCCCACGTCACTGTTAACTGGGAACAAGCAGTCCCAGCAGCCATAACTCCAGTTATAAGATCTGGCAATTAGGAAAAGCCACTAAGCCACTTACTAGAGCAACTCCTGCTTTGGACCAGCTGTGCAAATTTGGCTCGGGAGACAAGAGGCAGCCCTCAGCCAAATGGACTGCAAGAATTCGGTGCATTCCAAACAGCAAGAGCCACCTTTCCGTTAATGCACTGCAACACAGCCGCTGGCCACGAGACGTGAAAAACTCGGTCTACAGCTAAAACCCTTCTAAAAATTAAATCACACCCCAAAGCAGTGATGCAGAGACTTATCTTCTGAAAAATCTTCTGCTTTGTGTCACCTCCACATCAAACCATTCCAATAAGACAGCTCAACTTCAAAGTTCTTAAAGACCTTTATGCTCTATGCTAGCTTTGTATCGCTGGCTTTGACCTGGTGGGAAATAAGACATCTCAGAGCAGACTCTCAAATTACTTACACTCATACCTATCACTCAAATTACTCACACTCCTCAAATTACTTACACTCATACCTATCACTTTCATCATCATAATGGTTAAGTGAGCCATCACAGAGAAAAATTTGCTAAATACACAATGGAGGATAAGGGCAACAAAAACTTCAACTCTTATCAGTACTTTTTTTTTTCTGAGATGGAGTTGTGCTCTTGTTGCCGGGCTGAAGTGCAATGGTGCAATCTTGACTCACCACAACCTCCTCCTCCTGTGTTCAATCGTTTCTCCTGCCTCAGCCTCCCGAGTAACTGGGATTACAGGCATGGGCCACCATGCCTGGCTAATTTTGTATTTTTAGTAGAGATGGGGTTTCTCCGTGTTGGTCAGGCTGGTCTCGAACTCTCAACCTCAGGTGATCCACCTTCCTCAGCCTCCCGAAGTCCCAGGATTAGAGGTGTGAGCCGCTGAGCCCAGCCTACTAAGTACTTTCTTAACAACTACAAACAGTATGTAGAAGAGGCAGTCCAATAATTACTATTGCCTCTTGGCAGAAAACGGAAGAAATCAGGCTGAAAGAAATTCCAATAATGGGTAACACTAATGACTAAGTATTGTGTAACAAATTTTGGTCAAAGTAAAATATTGTTAGCCACTGTATAGGTACACTGAACTTATACACACAGACAAAAATATACTGGCAAATATGGAAGATTTAAAAATCATCCAATTCAATATAGTATGAAGCATGCATTACGTCTGAAGTTTTATTTCTCACACTTTGAAAAACCTGTAACTACCTTTACTTAACATGGTAGGAGTACCATAAGACAATTTCCTTCCTCCCTCACTCCTCCCTTCTTCCCTTTCTTTGATGGAGTCTCACTCTGTCGCCCAGGCTGGAGGACAGTGGCGCGATCTCGGCTCACTGCAACCTTAGCCTCCCAGGTAGCTGGGATTACAGGCGCTCACCACCAAACCTGGCTAATTTTTGTATTTTTAAAAACGGCAGGGCTTCAACATGTTGGTCAGGCTGATCTCGAACTCCAAACCTCAGGTGATCCACCTGCCTTGGCTTCCCAAAGTGCCAGGATTACAGGTGTGAGCCACCGCACCCAACCAAGACAATTTCAATGCACATTTTGCAATTCCTCCTATCTGTGGGCTGGACTTAGTCAAGTAATTGTACTGGCCACCTCGCATCGCACCCGTTCTGGATTAGGTACTGGGAAAATACAAATTTAACTTTAGTTCTCTACCCACTAGTACAGAGTGTGTTTCCTTTCCCAATAGAGAAACCACTGCTGCGAAATACCCTGTAAGGTAACAGTCACTATAAGAAAACTATTTTCACATTGGCTCACTGATCTGGTTACAATGCAATTCAATAGTATATTTAAAAAAAAAAAAGAAACTCGATAGTAAGTCATCCTGAACAGCAATCTTCTCATCCCTCTGAGCTTTAACAGACCCTGAAAAAAGGAAAGGGCCAGTGGAACTGGGTATTGAAAGAAAGGAATTTTTCTTCCACAGCCCTATGTTTCTTTGCTTTTTCTTTTTCTTTCCCTTGAGACAGGGTATTGCTCTGTTGCCCAGGTTAGAGGGCAGTGGCATGATTCTAGCTCACTATAAGCCTTGCAATAATGAGCCTATGCAATCCTGGGCTCAAGCAATCCCTCCACTACATGAAAAATTTAAACAGCTGCCATACAGCAAAAACAAAACAAAAATAAAAACCCATCCAAACCAAACAAACCACCATCAGCAAAGTCAGAAAGATTCTATAACTTGTATCAGGAACAAAGAACTAATCACCCTACTTTTTAAAGAACTCCTAGAAATTAAGAAGAAAAAGATAAACGACCCCAAAGAAAAATGGGCAGTATTACTATATAGGACTCGTTCAGAGACTAACACCAAAATCAAAAGACCCTTAAGCATTTAAAAGGATGCTCGCCTTGCTCAGAATACAAATGTAAAGCTA